CCCCCTCTCTCTCTCTCTCTCTCTCATTTACATGTACATCTCTCTCTCTTTCTCTCTCTGTCTGATCTCTCGAGATATCCCCCTCTCTCCCACATCTCTCTCTCTCTCTCTCTCTCTCTCTCTCTCTCTCTCTCTCTCTATCTATCTATCTATCTATCTCTCTCTCTATCTATCTATCTATCTATCTATATCTATCTATTTCGTGATACCTAAATAAACAGGGTGACCTCTTCCACTTTTTAATGCGTTTTTTGTTTTCAAGCAACGAGTCGTGCGATCCTTTGGCGAGACCAGCCTAGTGCAGTATACGGAAATCAAGACTGTACTGACATGAACATTGCATTCGTCACCTGAAGCCTTTTTCCACATGTAGGCTTGAGTCCAGCATCTTTTATCTATAGCCTATTTGCACACATGACAGCCCCCAACCCAAAAGATGCATTAAATTCCCAGAGTAGAAGAGAACAAGTCACGGTTTTTTGCCAGCGAACACAACGCATCCCACTGAATTCCTACCGAATGTAATAGTATCCGCAAGGATACCCCCACCCGACTGCCCGTTGTGCGACTGCCAGGAGGAAACAGTATACACACCACCTCTTTAACTGCCCTGCGACCTGCGACCTACCTACCTACCTACCTACCTACCTACCTATCTACCTACCTCCCCAGACATCGGAAATACTCTATACAACGACAAAGCACAGCTGATAAAAACCTGTCAATTCTTTGCCATATCGACAGACAGGAGGGCTAGAACCCAAATGGCCGCTGGATCGGAAAAGTAAAGTAAAGTAAAGTTCTACCAAGCATCATCCAGAAATCCTACTTATTGCAAAGCGAGTTCATATTATTTTGTGGATTCTTGTATAATTGAACCCCCCCAGGGGCAGTGCTACTGACTGAAGTGTCTTAAAGGCCATCACCAAACTTGTTCTTTTGGCTGATTCACAAAAGTCACGCTCACAACTGTGCCTGAACTGCAACAGGGAACTGCTGCTTTTTCTTTCCTAATCTTTACTATCGTCATTTTTCCTACTTCTTTTGCATATTTGTCACACTCTTGTGACCCACTATTTCCGGGGTGCCTTGATATAGTCAAAGTCAAAGCAGACTTTGTGCTGTTGCGGCTAGAGAGGCGAGCAGAGTAAGCCTGATTCCCTGTATGGACTTTTCTGTTGACATGCACCCTAGACGGTCATAAAAATGGTCATTTTATGATCGCCTCGCATCCACCCCTTGGCGCTCAATGACCTTGCAGTTGCAGGCTCTACTAAACTTCTATTATTGCTGGGTTTGCAGGGCCCACTTGAGCATGACTTTCCTTTCAACTCAACGTCGAACTGATTATGCTATTTAGTCAAAAAAAAAGAATAAAGTGTCTTTTAGAAATATTTTGAAAAGTATGTTGCCAGGTGTTACAAATCAATAATATTTATGTGTTTTAAAAATTCGATAACAATTATTTAATTCGACGAAGTTGTAGGTCTAAATGGCGAATGCAGAAAAGGCTGCCATCAAATTACGTCCCTTTGCATCGTTCACGCGCCATTTATGAAACGACAACAACAAGAAGTCAGAAGGGAGGGCAAATTTTTTACAGTTCACAAGAGAGGCGGAAGGAAAGAAAAAACCCTGGCATTTGCTCAGTATTTCTTTGCTTACTATCACTCTATTTCAGGTAGATGAACAGTGCAGTACTGTGTGAATAGTCTAAAGAATGGACTCTACTACAGACTTTGAATTATTTTGTTTGTACGACCCAACATGTGCGCCACTGGCTTTTCATCAGAAGTAAGTTCCCATTTGTCATGTCATGTTTTCACCCTGTCTGTGTCTTTGTAAATTGAACTTGTTTTATAGGCCCCCTATACTATGATACTTTAGATCTAGATCTAGAGGCCTAATAGTCAAGGAGTAAGGCAGGAGAGAAAGTGAAAAGTGGCTGTCCTACACAGTAGACATGTGGTTCAAGTTGTTGTCTGGTAGACCACTTTGGACAAATAAATCATCTCGTGGGGGGGGGGGGGGGAGGGGGCGCTTTTATACTAGCATCAAGATCGGGCATTATTCCCCTGCCCCTTCCAAGGCCTGAGTTTGCACCGTATATATGAGTATGCTATGGGTTTGTGGAAGCAACTTGGAACTCTAGGAAAGGAAAGCTTCCAATCTGATCTTGATTCGAATTGCCTGCCCTTTTTATGACTGTACTGCACTAAACTTTTTCTTTTCTTCTCAGCCGTGGCAGCAAAGAGCTGAGGTTTACCTGCAGGCTCCCGACACAGAAGAACAAAATCAAGCAGCTGATGATCTTCGCTCAAGGTCCTTGCCAAAGTTTAAGAGATCATCAGGTCAACGTAGAAATCATCAGCCCCAAACACCACCAACTGCTGTGCACATTGTCAGAGGAAAAAAAGTAATTATATTAATTATTATTAGTTGTTTTTTTTAAAGCCTTAGTAGATCTAGATCTAGAAATAGAAGATCTAGTAAGGTTTTACACGCTCACAAAGTGAACATGCATAAAATATAAGGTCATCTGAGCGTCAAGAGGTGGATGTCAACAGAGAAGTCCAAACGGAGAATCAGGCTTACTCTGCTCACCTCTCTAGCCTCAACAGCACAAAGTAAAGTCTGCTTCGACTATCAAGACACTTCGGAAATAGCAGTTCACAAAAGAGGGACAAACATACAAAATGTCTTTCAAAAGAAGCAGAGGAAAATGACGATAGAGTAAGGATGAGGAAAGAAAAAGCAGCAATTCCCCCTATTTTCAAAGTTTCACATTGCATTTTATATAATTAGGCATTAAAGTACTAATTATATTTTACTTTCTTAAATAGAGGAGTTTTAAAGTCTTTTTTAATGCAATCATGTTTTTCTGTGGCAAAAGTAACTTCTTTCCGGTAATTTGGTGCCCTTTTGTACCTGTCATTATATTATAATAGCCTTTCTTGAGACTGCATTTTTAACAAAAATCCTCCCTGTTAAACCAAAGAAAATCAGGCAGTTGTGTGGATTTCAGTTTAAGTGGACTCCATTGTATTTTGCTTTTCCGTCAGTTACATAAATTGAATATTTTTTGTCTGAAAATTTTGTTGCATGTGACTGACAAAAACTCTTGGAGACCGATTTTGCTATTTTTAAATTAAAACAACTTTTTTCCCTTGATTTGAACTTTTTGACTGGTCACTACAAGAATAAGTCTTTGATAATGACTTTTCCATTATTTAGTGTGTATGGCATTGCTGGGCCAAAAGGAATAGCTCAACGACTGCATGAGTAACACCAGTAACGACAGCCGTTCCAAAAAAATGACACACTAATGCAGAGATGATACCTGTTGAAAAAAGTCAAAGTAATTACTTTATAGAGCCTTTCTTCGTGAAAGTTTTTGTGAGTTTTTTGTTAGAGGAAGCTTGCATCTACCAATAAAAAGATAATTAGAGTGCAGTAAAGAATGGCTCCATGACTGCTTGGGATTTTTTCAGTAGGTCACATTCTCTTCTGCTTTACCTGTGTCATTTTTCAAGGAATGTCCTTCTAGCACACAACCAATGTCGCATGCTAGCGCTGTGACAGTAACAGCGATGTTCCTCACGTGTCTGTTTCCACTTGTCTTGCAGGTGCTACCAGTGGTTCGAGGGATCCGGGACCGGCCACGGACTGCCCAACATCAAAGCTGTCTCTAATCTCAAGTTTGTCCTTGTTGCTACTGTGACAAAGAAAGCCGCTGATAACGAAGCGGATGGAGACGAACTTCCTACGGAGCAGTCAGCGGCAGAGGGATCCCTAGAACTGCCTGGGTCAGACGTCTCTGGCGATGATGAGCAATCTGGTGCAGCGGAGAAACAAGAAGTCAAAGAACTTCTGCCTGATAACTCAAATAAACAAATGATGGATGGAAAAGATAAGCAGCACACCGTTATCACCAGTAAGAATAAGAGCAAGAAAAGCTGTCTGCCCGATGGTAAAAGATCTAAGGATGTCGGTGATAAGATTCAGCTTGACAGTGCCGAGAACAAGCCATCTGAGGACATCACTGTGGAGTCAGGCAAAGCTGTAGACAAAGAGCTTTTTGTTGTTGAGTCTGGGTCTTCCAAAGACAAGCGAGGTAATGTCAAGGAAAGTAAAAAACCTCCCCCTAAAGAGATCAGTAAAAAGTCATCCAAAAGAGTTCCTGATGGTGCCTCAAAAGGTAAAAAACAAGTCAGTAAATCGAAGGATATCAGTACATACTTCACTACAAGCTCCAGTAAGCCGGCATCAGAAAAAGCAAAACCAAAGCCGTCTGAACAGACACAAACAAGCCAGACTGCACACAAGGGAGAAGGGAAACTCTCAAAGGACGGTGGGCAGCAGGAAGTGGAAAAATTGATTGAAGATCCGGACGAGAAATCTGATCGTGGGTCTGAGAAGGCATGCCCTGTCTCTAAGAAGCAAAAAGTAAAAACCAGAAACATTTCAGCGGATCTCGAAAAGGACACGATTGACTTGTGTGAAGAAGTTCCAGAGAAAACATCTGAGAGCCAAGACGCGGTGTTGACTTTGCTGACAAACACTCCCGAGGTGACAAAGAAGACTGATGGAGAACAGATGCAGAAGCTGAATGAGAACACACCCGCAGATGTAAGTTTCTACCTGCTGTACTGTTGTTCAACACTCACGCGTTCAAGTTGATTTAATGACTCCCTCTAATTACGGGGTGCACTTTGATTCTTTTTTGCTAGCTTATGAATTTTAAGCCTGTACAACAAAAAAGTATGGAAGATTGCGGCATGCCGTTGGTACAGAATTTAGAGAAGAATGTTTCAGACTTACGTAGTTTGTGATGCACAACCTTTGTCTTTAGATCCCATGCCGTGTAGTGATAGTTGAATGCAGGTTCTTTTTGTCTTTTTGGTTGTCATGTCACCTGATTCTTTCTCAGTTTTCTCCCACCCACCCCACTCTGTTGCCGGATCGATGACAACTCCCCCCCACCCCACCACCACCACCCACACCTCTTACTATGTTCTCAACCTGTTTGGCTTCTGCAAGGTGGGGCTTACTTTACTGAAGATCATTTTCTTACCTTGTGGTTCTTTGTATGGTGACAAATTATACTTTGAATTTTAATCCTGCTCTCATTTTAAGTTTCGTAATGATCTTTTTGCACCCTCGATATGCCTGTATAAAAGAAGGCTCCAAAAGATTTGATGTCAATCAACATTTCCCTTCACAGCCTGTGTGCAAATCTCGGTCGCCATTCCCAACACCAAAAGTGTCAAGAAAGAGGAAAAACGATGACGAGAACACGCCCACGTCAAAGCCGCGGCGACAGAAACTGGCCATGAAGGCTCTCTCTGAAAAAAATCCGCCACTGGCAAAGATGTCTCTGATGAAGTTTTCTGATCTGACCCTCCCTGAAGATACAGATACTGCAACCTCTCCGCCTAAAAATGCTGACACCAGCAAAAAAGTGTCACGCTGCGTGGACTTATCAGCACGAGGTATATGGTTTTGTTTATTAATTATAGTTCTGGTCTTGTCGTGTCTTAAAGCCTGAGATGCTTTCTTCTGGGAAAGGAACTTTCTTTCTCTTTTTTTGTTTGTTTTTTTCCCCCTTTCTTTCTTTCTTTTTTTTTTTTCCCCTCCTCGTTTTGTGTGGGAAGATATATGATGCTGTAGAGCCCGTAATATCCTAATCCTGGGGATGGATGGAAAGCAGCATGAGTTGGTCTTACTTCTTTTCTTTTCTTCTGTCTGCCTGTCTTCCCTTTTCCCAGCATTAAGTGACTGTTGTTTTATCGACATGCTTCTCCGTACTAAAACAAACTTGTATTTTTTTCTTCCAGTTCCCAAACCAAGCAGTCGCTGGGGTCACTCGTTCACCCTGGTCAGTTCAGAAAGTGCCGTCCTCATCGGGGGTCAGGGAGACAAACAGCTCAGCCGGGATTCCATCTGGTCTCTCAATCCAGGTAAGTTGTTTTGAGGACCAGGGAACACCGACTGTGTTCAACGAATACTTCGTCTTGATTTAATTATAATTGTGTAATCTTAAATGATAAATATTAACTCATAGAAATACACTCCCAATATTACACTGGATTGATATTATGGTTTTGATTGTGGTATTGAGAGTCAATATTTTGTCATGTTTTTCCTTTCGCAAAAAGGTTTTAAAATTGTAATGATGTAATCTTAAATGATAAATATAAACCCCTAGGAATGTACTCCCAATATTAGACTGGAATGATATTACTGGTGATTTCCTCCCGAAGAATACAACAGTAATGAAGAATCGTTGCCTGTCTTTTTACTGCTTCTCTTGGGTCTGTTAACTAATCATTATTTTTTCAATGTTTTTTCCATTTTTTTAAAGCAGAGATGCCATTTTTCGGATGAATTTGGAACTCCACAGTTCTGAAATTGTCCATATTTTGTTTTTTATATATAAAAGTGGTCTTGGTACAAGATATGTTAGACATTGTAATCCATAAATTTTGAGTCCTTGCGTTTCCAAGGTGTCTGACAATATCTGGTGTTTTTTTGTTTTGTTTTGTAGCCTGTTGGCATCTGTTTAAAAAAGCAGATTGCGTTTTGGCTTTTGTTAATTTGTTGTTTTTTTTTCATTTTCGTTCTATTTCTAGAAACGAGGACGTGGAAATCTCCCGAGGTCGTGACAGAAGGAGCGAAGCCTGAGTACAGGGTAGGCCACACTGCCACTTACGACCCCACCATGCGATGCATCTACGTCTATGGAGGCTCCAAAAATGCAAAATGGTTTCACGATGTGCATATTTTCGATCTGGATGAAAACAAATGGACCTTAGTGAAGGTAAATCTTCTCATATATTTAAACTGTTTTGTTCATATCTTATTCCATGGATGTACAAAATAACATTTGTCTAGCACAGATTCCCGCTCAACAGCAAGCTCTATGACGAGAGGGAACTTTATTTTCTGTGCCAATGATGTGATATAATTTTCTCCCTCGGAGAGTTACAGAAGGGAAAGTCTTGGTTGCCTCTGATTGTGGTGAAAACAAATGTGGGGAAATTTTTTTCTTCTTCTCTGCAGCTGTGATATTATTTGATTCTCTCACCTCAGTTATGATAATGGTGATCCTGAAGTGCTTATATAAATACTTTTTATAAACCCCATAGCATAAAACTAACGTAACCTAACTTAGTTTACTTGAACTTCAAAATAGTTTTAAGTTCGTTGAAATAAGATTAATCAGAAAGTTCTGTGTTCTCAAAATATGGTTGTCTGGATGTAATTATATTTCTTGGAGCCCTAATACTTCTTAGATCATTATTTTTTTTTTAACTAGTTTTTTTTGGACAATATTCACTTTGCTACTGGTTTTCTCCAGGTCGCACAAAAATATAGGAACATGCCGTTAACTACTCAGACACACATCAATGCCTGCAATATTCTTGCTTCTATGCTGTCACACACAGACTGTCACATTTATTCTCCAAAGGCAAGGTCGAAACAGATGTTATCATCATCATATAACAGTCAAACTTGCTCTAACAGCCAAACTTGCTCTAACAGCCAAACTTGCTCTAACAGCCAAACTTGCTCTAACAGCCAAACTTTCTCTAACACAGTCAAACTTTCTCTAACACAGCCAAACTTGCTCTAACAGCCAAACTTTCTCTAACACAGCCAAACTTTCTCTAACACAGCCAAACTTGCTCTAACAGCCACCTGTCCAAGAATATCACTTGTACAGACAACCATTTCCCTCTGCTCTTCTCCTTGCTTTTTTTTATCTATAGATATTATGATGACACTGTCCAAAACTTCCACCTGTCGAAGACAACCATTGTTCTCTTCAAGGATAGTTGACTGTCTTGAACAATTTCTTCTGTCTGTTGAAATAGAGAACACACAAACTAGTAACCACACACACACACATACACACACACACACATACACACACACACACACACACACACACACACACACACACACACACACACACCTCAGGGCATTACTACTGTCTGAAGTTGTCTTTAGGCCATCCCCAAACGAGGGATATTAACACATTTTCTTATGCACAGTAGAATTGTAAATCGGCTGATTTATCAATGTCATGCTCAAACTGCTGCTTTTTCTTTCCTCTCCCTTACTGTCGTCATTTTACCTCTACTTCTTTTGTATGTTTGTCACAGTCTTGTGAACTGCTATTTCCGGGGTGCCTTGATAGTTGAAGCAGATTTTGTGCTGTTGAGGCTAGAGAGGTGAGCAGACTAAGTCTAACTGATTTCCTGTATGGACTTCTCTGTTGACATCCACCCCTTGGCACTCATATGACCGTATGCAGTTGCAAGCGCCGTAAAACCTCTACTAAAACTAAAACTGTCCTAAACCTTCCACCTGTTGAAGACAACAACTTTTTTCCTCAAAAATAGCTGGCTGTCTTGGACAATTTCTTATGTCTGTTGTAAGTTGCGAACACAAACAAGTAACTTGTTCTCTCCCCCTGTTCTCCGACCACCAGGCCAACGGCAAGGCTCCGACAAGGGCCTACCACTCCACCTCGTTGTTCCGCCATGAGCTGTGGATTTTCGGTGGAGTTTTCCCGCGCCCCGACCCACAGCCCGACGGCTGTGACAACGACGTTCACATCTTTAGCCCCGTCATGGAGAGCTGGTACAAACCCATCGTCACAGGGGAAAAGCCTCGGCCACGATCAGGGTAAGTCTTCTTATGGTGGGTGGTTGGCGGGTGCTCTGATGTGGTTTGCTTCTTCTTTCCTTTCCTATCAAACATCTATGAATGGTCATCATCTTTATCTCTCCTTTTTTTGTGTTTGTTATTACTCTCTTGTAACACCTCTAATCTTCGGCACTTATATGACCGTATTGTGTTGCAAATGCCATAAAATGCTTACTAAAACAAAGTCTTCACAAGAAATATTGTGATAATAATAATGTAGATCATTTTTATAGCACCAGATTTACTCATTGGAACACAACTCTAGGTGTTTTAATGAACATTATTACCCAAACAGACCTGATAGCATTATGAAACAACTAGCTGGGTACCCGTTCGATGAACAGGCTCGGAGAATCGATCGTCAAGTCATTGTGGACTCAGTGTGCACTGCTTGTGAACGGAAGCCTCACTTGTTTACAATGAACAATGGCGTCTTAGAAGACACTTTCTCAAGATTAGAGCTAAAGGAAACTAATTTTTAAAAAAAAATTAGAATTAAACTACAGCGACTTCAGACTCCTTAATATAACTGTGCACCCTTTAAATGATTCAGAACCACCGTTGTTGCTTTTCCAAATTCGAAGTTAATTGCTTCGGACGCGTTTAGGCAACCAAAGTGACGAACTTTCACAGATATAATTGATTTCAACTTTCTGGGAAGTATACACTGCAAGCTATTTTACAAGTGTTCAATTAAAAACACTTAGTGGCGACATCTTTGCTGTCTAAGGCTGTGTACCCTTTCCCACCTGGGTCAAGTGAGGAAAATACATTGAGAGGGATATATTGCATCCCAGCAGACAGACCAAGATACTTGATAAAAGTTTTTCCCTCTCGATTGTTGCGCTTAAGTCTTCTTTTTATTACCGTGAAGTGCCTAATTGCCACTTAACAGATTCCGTTGTTTTTTTTCCTTTCTCAATGCCACATGCTGTCATGAATACAATGTAACCCGCGCGCTCATATGACCGTATACATGCAGTTGTGAGCGCCGTAAAACACTTACCTAGAAGGAAAAAAATACAGTGTAATCTACTAACAATGCCATGATCATGTGAAAGTACGGGGTCGATGCAACCATGTGTTAATGTGTTGTTTCTTCTTCAGACACTCTGGCACGTGCATCAAGGACCTGATGGTTGTGTTTGGCGGCTGGGACTTCCCCTACTGCTACAACGACCTCTACATTCTCGACCTCAGTGAGTTATTATTATAATGTGTGTCACCTTTGTGAAATCAAACACATGCTCGTTAAAGTCACAAAATCAAAGAAATCGATGTTTTTTTCTGCCTGTTGGGCAATTTTGATCACTTTTTTTTTCTTCTTTGGCTCAAACTTTTTATCTCTGTTCCAAAACACATTTCTGTGTAGATTTTACTGAAAAGTGATGACCAAAGGCTCAAAAATGGAAATTTGCAGTTTCCAAGAACACTATACAGTTTTGGAAGTCACCAAACTTAAGCGTTCATTTTCTAGTAATTTTACCTGTGGCACCAGGCGACACCCCCCTTCTCCAATTGCAAAATCTTGACTTCTCTACAAGATAGATGGATACTTTTTTCATCACTTTATTTTGACCGCTCGTGAATTTTTATTGCATTGTATATTTTTAGTGAACACATTTTCAACCTCACTGCGAGACTGTTTTTCTCGTATAAAATTTTACACATATGCATTTATATTATATGTATAATACTTTGTTTTACGTACACACTTGTCGATTAATTTTTAAGATGTGATGTCTTTTTCATTGTAATGCGCATTGAGCATCTTTTAGGAAATGGAAATGCGCAGTATAAGTGCTATTTATTATTATTATCATCAAAAGCAAGACAAATGAACAAACTTTAAGAAGAAGAAAATGTTTTAAAAGAGAGACAGAGCAAATAAAATGATTTGTGACTTCTGCTGTGACCAATGAGACCCAATTCTGGCAGAGAAAAGTTTTTGCACCTGTTGAGCCTTAAAGGCTTCATTTCCACCTGTGTATCCTGTATGTGTGTAGAAGTTATGAATGTTTCAGAGAAGCCCATAGTGAGTAATAAATAGATTTTTAGCAAGAAAAAAAAAATCTACAGATTGAGTGGAAGTTCCAAGATTGCTTCTTCAACCATTTCTTATCTATTTAGTTCTCAAATTATTAATGTTGGTTCTTAGTAAGTAACAATTTGTTGGGGGTTTTTGTGTGAAATATAAACCCAGATTTCTTCTTCAACCTTTTCTTATCTATTTAGTTCTCCAATTTTGTTTTTCGTTAAGTAACAAGTTGATTTGTTTGTGAAATGTTTACTGTTTGTGAAAGAAATTCCTATAATACAGTAAGCCTACACTTGAACTTGAAGAAGTTTTAATGTTTCAGAAGTTCTGTTTTCTAGCACACAAAAACTTTGTATTCCTCTTTGTGTAGCCTAAATAGATGGTTACAACAGCTTTTCTCTATGGGGGTGTGAAATATCTGCAATTTAAATTATTACACCAACACTTTTTTGCACTCATTCCGTAAAGTTGTTTCTCACTTCACTGGAGATTTACTTAACGGTTTCCTTTTTTTTTCTTTTTCTTCAAGCTACGGTTGACTGGTCTTGCCCTAAAGTACACGGAGCTCCACCAAAGCCCAGAAGGTAAGCTCATGGGTACAAACTATCCATAACGAAATGATTGTGAAGACCAAGGAGGAAGAGGAGTTGTTATAGATCTTGCTAGCTGCGGCAGGGTGGGAAGCTCTGGTTACCTGCCTCCCTGTGTTACGGCTATTTTCTCATGATATAACTGTATAACTGACTATTCTCTGGTATTGTTTTCTCGTATTACGATACATTTCCAAAAGAGCAAAAACAGATAGATATACAAATTTATTCATACCAACTGCAGTGAGGTTACTAAACACACAGTGCTACAAATGAAACAGAGAGAGAGAATTTTACGGAGTGGGTGTTTCAGCACGTTAGACATACAGTCGAACCTGCCCTGACGGCCACCTGTACTAACGGCCACTTTCCATTTCCCCCATTGCGTTTTTTCTATATAATTTAACTGTGTAAAACGGGCACCTGTCCGCCGCGGCCACCATATTTTAACACACAACCCCTATCACACTAAGCAATAACAACTGTCTAAGACGGCCACCTTAGTGACTCATTACGTTTTGTCATAAATTGTGCTTTGGCCCTTGGCATTGTGGGCGAGCTGTCATAATCCAATCACTTGTCGTTGTTGTTAGGTAGTCCCTCCAACCGATCATGTTGCGTAGGCCTCTCCCTCTGTTGACCAATAGGTAGGCTACCAATTTTCAGCTGCTGGTGGCGTAACCGTGTGATCCCTCATAACCCTAAAGCCCCGCCCAGAACTCATACGCAAATCGTAAGTGAGATGAGTGCAGTGTTTACCCAGTCTGTAACAAAGTAACAATGGACGTCAACATGAACTTGTGACAGAAGCGTCGCTTGTTCTCTGTGTGGTGGTGACCCATGGGTTTGTTTTAACACGGCACTGTCTTCCTCGTCTGATACATTTCGTTTTATTGTCACCCTTGTGCACAATCAGCAACAAAATAGAAATAACAAACAAAATACAAATCAACAACAACAAAAACAACAATTGATTGGGACTTCAGAAGGGAATAGTTATTTTTCTTCATTTTGATCAATCCTGCCTAAGACGGCCACCTGTCTTATACGGCCACTTTTCTCCTTAACAATGGGTGGCCGGCTTACACAGGTTTGACTGTATATACACTAATGCCCAGTTTGTTGTACGTATCCGCGTGAGTGCACCTAAGTAACATCTACTGCCATTGTAAACGAGCAAGACAAATTTCTCCCTGCGAGACGAGATGAATAAAGATTGTCATTGTTTGTTTTCTCGCGTTATTAAATTTCTCAAGATACCGGGGGGGGGGGGGGTTGTGTTACAAATGTTTTCACATGTCACAGTTTTCTCGTCTTAGTTTTCTCACATTAGAACTGTTTCCTCGTGTTACAAGTTTATTTTTCTTCCGTTAGAACCGTTTTCTTGTTGAACTACTGTTGTCTTATATCACGACTGTATTGTTTTGTCGCTTTCTCGTGTTACAGTTGTTTGGGGGTTTTTTGTGTTAATTTTCTCATGTTACAAGTTTATTTTTTTTCCATTAGAACCGTTTTCTTGTAAAATTACTGTTGCTTTATATCACGACTGTTATCTTATATCACAACTGTTTTTTTGTGGCAGCTGGCACGCCTCCTGTACGCTGACCAACAACCGTCTGTTCATCCATGGAGGCTACGACGGCGACAACGCCCTTCACGACGCTCACATCTACGACCTCGGTAAGACATCGCCATATTACGCTCTTGACATGCTTGGCTCATTGGAAGGGGCTCTCTGAATTTATTCTTAAATATGGTGGGGGGGGGGTTATATGATGGTTAGGTTCTTTGCTGTCACAGAAAACATATTAAATTGCATTTATATTGCCCATTTTCATCCTGGAAAAAAAAAAAGAGCTCAATTTGCATGCCAATAAAGGGAGGAAGTAGAAAGAGGGTTAGGGTTGGTGTAAGGTCCCTTCTTTATTGTGTTTGTTGTGGTGGTCGCTCGTTACGAAAGTCCTTCCCCAACAAATGTAATTATAATAATAAATTGCGTTTATATTGCCCATTTTCATCTTGATGAGAAACTCAATTTTACAATATTCCTTCGACTTCTTGTGATAAAAGTAATTTTGAAAAGAATGTTGAATGTATCGTGTGTTTGCTTCTCCTTGCTAGTTTCTTACGTAAGAGTTTGATGCCACTGACTGAAATGTCTTTAGGCCATTCCCAAAGGGTGGACATAACATATTCTTTTATGCTCAGTAGAATTGTACGTGGGCTGATTTATCAATGTTATGCTCGTACTGTGCCGGAACAAGATAGGGGGAACTGCTGCTTTTTCTTTCCTCATCCTTACTATCGTCATTTTTTCCTCTACTTCTTTTGTATGTTTGTCACTCTCTTGTGAACTGCTATTTCTGGGATGCCTTGATAGCCGAAGCAGACTTTGTGCTGTTGAGGCTAGAGAGGTGAGCAGAGTTAGTATGCCTGATTGGCCGTTTGGATTTCTCTGTTGACATCCACTCCTTGGCACTCATATGACCTTCTGCAGTTGCGTGCGTCATAAAACCTTACTAAAACAAAACTTAACAAGAGTTGGATGTGTCAATGTGTGTTTGCTGAACCTTACTAGCTAGTTTCTTTCACTTACATTAGAGTTGAATGTTTCTCAAGGTGTGTTTGCCTTTCCTTACTAGTTTCTCGCGTCAGATTTCGATGTGTCTCACTGTGTGTGTGTTTGCCTTTCCTTACTAGTTTCTCGCGTCAGATTTCGTTGTGTCTCACTGTGTGTGTGTTTGCCTTTCCTTACTAGTTTCTCGCGTCAGATTTCGATGTGTCTCACTGTGTGTGTGTTTGCCTTTCCTCACTAGTTTCTCGCGTCAGATTTCGTTGTGTCTCACTGTGTGTGTGTTTGCCTTTCCTCACTAGTTTCTCGCGTCAGATTTCGTTGTGTCTCACTGTGTGTGTGTTTGCCTTTCCTCACTAGTTTCTCGCGTCAGATTTCGATGTGTCTCACTGTGTGTGTGTTTGCCTTTCCTTACTAGTTTCTCGCGTCAGATTTCGATGTGTCTCACTGTGTGTGTGTTTGCCTTTCCTCACTAGTTTCTCGCGTCAGATTTCGATGTGTCTCACTGTGTGTGTGTTTGCCTTTCCTTACTAGTTTCTCGCGTCAGATTTCGATGTGTCTCACTGTGTGTGTGTTTGCCTTTCCTCACTAGTTTCTCGCGTCAGATTTCGATGTGTCTCACTGTGTGTTTGCTTCTCCTTCTCGCCAGGTTCCCACTCTTGGCACGAGCTGGCGCTGGACAACGCTCCGTCGGCCCGAGCTGGACACACGTGTCTGTGGCTACCGTCCAGCTACGAGGATCTGGAGGAGGACGAGGTGATCGTGTTTGGGGGCGGGGACAACGACGGAAGCTACTTCAGCGACATGCTCTCCTTCTACATTCCTTTTGAACCCAAGACTCTGTAATTCAGATGTGTGCTGATTTGCCGGATAAATCCAGATTTTTAGATTTTGCAGTCTGGTTTCAGTTGTTGTACCTGATTTTTAAACAAATTTATAGTGACATCTGTATACAGAAGTCAATGGTTGAGAAACTATAACAGGAATTTAAAAAATACCTATATATGTGTGTACTAACTCTGATTTTATTTTATCCATCATGCACTCGTAATATAATATATTTTCAAACTTTAACTTTATGGTTCTTATTCTTTTTTTTTTTTTTTTTTAATTTTCAATTTCCAAATTGTCAACACAGCTGTGAATGATTCGAAAGTAGGTTACGATGTTTTAGTTTATTTGGATGAAAGTCAAGTTGGCGATCTGTTCACAGCCTCATTGCTGTGTAGTATTTGAATGGCATCAGTGGGAGACATCATGATAAATAAAGACACTCTAGCATACACATGGTGAAATCGACAGGGCGTGGAAATCTTTTCGCTATGTACCAATTTTGCTACGTGTGTGTTTTAAATACAAAGAATAGACATGTACCGGTACAGGAAAAATTTGAAACCTGAAAATGTCTTCGTAATGTGCATGCTAGAATGTAAGTATATAGAATCAGTTTGTGGTTCTTGAAATGAGGACTGAAAAACAGATCATGAAAGGAGAAGTCTTTTATATTTTTTAAGAATTAATGGTGCGCATTTTAGTTACTAGGACTAGGACTGAAGACTGTAAATTTGTTCTTTTACTTTTTTTATTCTTAAAAAAAATCCTTTGGCTGCAGGTCTACTTTTGAATAGCTTGAATTAATTGAATTCAGAATTAGAAAAATATGTGTGAAAAGTTAGTTGGGGGGGGGGGGGTGTTTACCTGGCCAGCGCCCACCATTTTGACCCGCTATATACGTATAGATCTGTTTTTTTATTGTCTTGAAAAGTTTGGCAGCTATGCATCGACGTTAGGTGCTTTTCATTAAAATGTCTATGTTGTGTGTTGTCACATTGATGGTTCTATTTGATCATTCTAGTAAAGTGTCACAAAATGTTCATTCTGTACTGGTATGTTCATTTAATATTTTTGTGTTATCATTGCATTGCCTTGTCTCCTTTTGTTGTGCTTGTAAAGTATGTATCTTTATTCATATTGAAACTAAATGCTGCTATTTATTAAAACTGTTTGTAGCTTTTAAAGAAAAATTTTCCGTGTTTTTTGTGTCATTTTATGTCTTTTGTACCATTTTAAAAAAATTTCAAACTGGTGCTGTATTAACTCAAACTCAATGTTAATGGGGCAGCAAGCGTTGAAACTGGCTTCATTATTTTACGAACAATTTTTAATGTACTACACATATATACATACATACATGTCGCTTAAAAAATATTTCATGGCTTTTCATTTTGTCCATTTGTGTTGGCAGTTGGCACAAACAAGTACATGGTTTAGTGTGACAAGATCCATGAAATCATTCAAGCCCAACAATGTGCAACTTTTTCTTTTTCTTCTGTTCTGTTTTAAAATGTTTTCAGTAACCTTTTATATATGACCACCAGAAGCAATTATTTGACATTCGGGGGAAAAAACTTTTATTTGTACATCCACATGCAATTTTTTGACTTTCTGAAAAATCTTTTTCAGTCATCTTTTATTTGTGTGACCACTAGCAATATTTTGAGTCTGAGAAATATTTTAGTATCCTTTAATTTGTACAACCACATGCAATTTTTTGACATTCTAAAAAATCTTTGACTTTATATAAGTAATTTTTTGCTTTACTTTGTGCAACCACATTCTTGTTTTGCATACATAATAGTAATAGTAATAGCACTTTGGATCTTCTTTGATTTGTGTTGATATTTAGTAATACCTTTGACTATTACTATTAGTATTGGTTACCGTGTTTCACACAGTTGCTTTTAAGGACAAGCGGGCTAATATCCCAGATTTCGGGGGTTTCCAAAAATCTTGACCTACACCTAAAGTGGGCATTGCCCTACCTGTAGGAGAACTTTGGTTTCATTGGTGTGTATATATATATTTGTTTGGTTATAAATCTATAGAAAATTCTCCTTGTCTTTTAAGTAAAATAAACAAGGGGCAAAAACTTTACCTTCGATTTTCTCAAAACAGCATTTTTCAGGATAGCCCCCTTGTGTTTAAAAGCTACCATATATCATCATATCAGAATCATTGTATCCTGAAGAAGAAAATTATGTTTGCATTTGTATAATTCCTTGTTCTTTACTTTCTCAATATTATAGCATCAGTCGAGCCATAGGTCATTTGATTGCAGTTGTAGACTCTCATTTAGATCAGTTGGTTTCGTGCTGAAGTCCGGAGTGGATGGCACTGGTTCGAATCACAGACTGGCAGTTCTTGGAATATGGTCGTTTTGTGGAGTTTCCAAGGCTCTAAGCGCGTGGAGTTTCCAAGGCTCTAAGCCCCATTTAGTTCAGTCCTGTCGGAGACGGATGTTAAATGCAGGGGTCCAAATTTCCAAACACATGTATATTTTTAAAAAGAGGACCTACTTGTCCATCTCATTGGAGTTTCTTGCCGTACATTTTCTCCCTCTCAGCTTCGGTAAGAACACAGTTTGAAACTCTACCCTTAGATGTAATAGCCCACCGATTAATTTGTTTCCAATCTAGAGAGTTGGAACAGTGTAGTATTTAAGCCATTTGATTTTTGTATGCCACAGAGGCTTGCAATGTAATGCGGCTTCTCTTTGAAAACATGTATTGATTTTGGAAGTATTATGTTTGTTGTAAGCTTTTTGTTTATTTTTGTTTGTGTATTGTAATATGTTTGAAGACAGTTTAATGAATTAATAAAGAATTTATGGCAATTTGACTCTGGCGTTTAATGTTGTCTTTTTGACTGTTCTTATTCTGTATACAGGTTAATATTATTTTGTTTTGACAGCCTATTTGAATAAATAATTGAAAGCATTTGTATAGTGCAAATTTTTGCTCAACTGCAAGCTCTATGCACTTTACAATATACCGGTATATTCTATATTATTACTAATATCCCCCCCCGTGGGTGATTGGCGGGTGCTCTGGTGTGGTTTGTTTCTTCTTTCCTATGAGACGTCTATCGTCCTTATCTCCCCTTCTTTTTTATGTTTGTTACTCTCTTGTAACACTTCTAATCTTCTGGCGCTCATATGACCTTATGCAGTTGCAAGAGCTGTAAAACTCTTACAAAAATGGAAAAAAAATATATTACCCCAGCAGACCTGACTGATAGCATTCTGAAACAATCTCAACCTCCTGGGAGGTGTACAGTGTTACAGTGTGCTTCTGCATCGCAGTTGTTTTAGAAAACTCTCAACAGGTGTCTGTGGTCTAGCAGTTGTTGAGTTAGGCACTTCGCTACCGCAAGCAGGAGACCTGGGTTTGATTCCCAAGTGGGGGAAAATTTTGAGTTTTAGTGGGTATCTTTGTCTTTCTGCTGGGTTGTCGTATCCTAAATGATCTCAATTGTGTAGATGCGGTTTAAAGTTCACTTTTTGAGAAAGAAAAAATAGATCTGCTCGTTTTTATAAAAAGAGCTCTTTCCTGCCTGGGTCAAAGCTAAGGCTGTTACTGTTACTTACTGCTACATGTATGTAATTTCGTTATTAGGATTGCTTTTCAACAGAAACTTTTGAACAAGAAAGCTCTAAGCACACTTATGAAAATGACACGGATTTATTAAGTGCTTCAAACACAGAACTAGTCTATTAAAGTTATAGAGCATGGAACAAATAAATAATCTGTACATGCATTGTGTGAATTGTGCGTTAGATTCTGAGTGAGATCCTCCATGGCGCGGTGACATATTCTAGCACTCTCCCTACTTTTTATCTTTGACTTTCACCCACCACTAACAAATCAGAAAAACGCAGTAACACAAATCTGAATTTCATTGATTATGGAAATACAACGTAATTAATAGGCTATGAGAGACATCAGTGCTCTTTTTTACTTTCATTCATATATATATATGTTATTACAATTCATCCCAATCAACCCCCCCCCCCAAAAAAAAAAAAAAAAAAAAAAAAAAAAAAAAAAAATTCAGTTTCAGAAACTCATCGCATAATTATGCCTGAGAATCAAAGATCACCATAATAACAAATTCTGCAATGTTTCAATAAATGTACCGTACTACTTGTCACCATGAACCATGGACAGTGATTTCAGACTACATGTGTTTGATTTATTCTTGGCCTACAACACCTGTATTCTTTCATTTCTCTTTCCATTTGTAAAGACGAGACATCTTGGCCTTCATACTCTTTTTACTTTTACCCCAGTTCCCAAAAGTTCTTGAAGAAAAGACTCTCTACATCGTCATATTCATGTTTATAAGTGATTGGCTCCTTTTGAATAGTTTGGGGTTTGGGGATGTGTTTATACATTAACAATAACAGCCCCGCCCCGCGCTCCTCCTTTTCCCACATTCTTTAATGTTCAACATCGCTTGGTGTCGTAAAGACACTCAACGGTTCTCAGCTGTTCACTGATCTCAAATCTCGGACGTCCCTCATTCTAAACCCCTGCGACAACAACAGCCCAACAGTCTCCTCCTCCGTGCGCCCCGCCCCTGCCACCTGGTGGTACAGGTCGTGTACTTTGACCTCAGGGAACAGCGCCCTCAGACGTCCCACGACTTGTGTGTGGCTCAGTGCCGGGTCCTCGTGTCTCTGACTCTGTCTCTGGGCCTCGGGGATAGACTCGGCGTACCGTCTGTGGATGTCCACCATCTTCTTGCGGTACTTGCTCGACAGGCGCTCCCCTGAAGCAAATATGGACAGCATTTTTCGATGCCTCAGAGCTTTGATGTAAGCCGGGCGTCTGCGCAACGAGGTTGTAACCACCCCTGCCAGGAATATGGCAGAAAGAGCAACGAATACACAGTAGAGCCAGTACTTTTTCAGGTAGGACGTGAAGAGACTTTTCCTCATGCCGCTGAACACAGAGTGTAGCGGGGCGACTGTCTCTTTGGACGAGACACACTGCTGAGCGTTGTTGCAAAAGTTCCCGGGTACACACGGCGTCCCCGGCTCCCAGAAAATCGGAGAACCGTTCGCGTTTCTGATTCCAAAGCCCTCGGCGGGTTTGCAGAATTTGCTGTTCGGAGTTCGGCAGCAGAGCTGACAGCTGTGTCGGGCGTCTGAGCATTTACAGCTCTCCAGCTGGTGGTAGGAACACACGTCCATGACGCAACGGTTGCCCTCACACACACGTCGCCCGTCGTTGCACAGCGAGCCGTTTTGAAGACGCGTGGGGGAAGGACAGTGCTCGCTGTCACCGTTACAGAAAGATTTCTGGGTGCACTCGTCAAAAATGTTACACACCTCTCGTGTTTTCAGCTTCTTGTACCTGCACTGTTCACTGCAGCAGGGCGACAGTTTTGGCGAGCAGAGTTTCCCCTGAGACTTCCGCGTGGTGCACGGTTTGTCCACGTCCCCAGTGTGGTCGGCCGGCGTGCAGCACGGGTCGATGGACTCGCAGATGTCGGAGAGGCCGCAGTCACACTCCTCGCCGACGTCAGGCACGCTATTGCCGCAGTGAGGGCGGTGCGAGTGGGACTGGAGGCAGCGCCCCTTCTTCTTCAGCACGGGAACCATCGTACGGATGCTGCAGACAGAAAATCTGCGGTTGTTCGGCTTCATGTCAAAATGGCTGCTCTTGTACATGATGTAGTTGCCGAGGTTTTCGTCGGCTGAGATACATCTCTTCCCGTCGTGCCTCGCTCCCATACTGTGGCCGAGCTCGTGGGATAGGGTGAGCACCACGCTCGACCTCTGCGCCATCTTGCCGGAGATCATGAACGTGACCACCAGTGTGTTGAAGCTCACGTGATGTGAGTTAATCCTCAGTCTCTCCTGGCAGATGCCGCCCGGTGTCCGGCGGTTTGAGTACGCCGGGAAGGACGTGCCAGCCACGCCGTTGAAGTCTCTAAATGTAAACGCTACTGCTAAACAATGTCCCTCAAAATTATAGAAAGAAAACTGCCGAAGGTACTCGTCTGAGGTCATATAAGGCCGAGCCATCTTGTAATCGGCGTCTTGCTCCGTCTTGTACACTGTCACTTTCTCTACCATGAACCCGATGTTGTCCCCCTGGCCATCCCCGTCAAAATCCGTGCTCCGGAACAAGGCATCAGCGTCGTTCACCAAGCTAAACATCATGTTGACCGTCTCCAGAACATTTCCGCTGCCGATGTATTTGAAGAAAAGGTGGTCCGCCACAACGTGGAGAGAGCATGTCAAGGGTGGAGGGAGATCTGTCTTTGTCTCACGTCTGTACTCAGAGCGCTGGTTCATCGTCCTATCACGCGTTTCCTTGTGGACATGCTCGCTGTTTGACGCAGATTCAAAGTCGTTGAGCTCGAGAAGCAGTTCCTCGTAAGACTCTAGAGAACTGACGCTTGTGTTGGGTGGGGATACATCTGACGAGATGAGCTCACAGGGAAAACAATCTTGGGCTTTGAGGGACTCAGCCACGACAACATTACCGCACGACATCTGTAAAACGGCGCCAAAGTAAAACGTCCTCCCAGAGAATGAGGCCCCACTCTGCTCTCCGCTGAAAGGAAACGTCTCGTTTGCGAACCAAAAATGACCAGAGTAAAACGAATGAAGCTGCTGCGCAACATCTTCTCGAAAGACAGGTATCTCGACTGTTTGCCCCGAATTGTAAGTGATCTGAGCGTCGGGGGCCATGACCACATGTTGACCAATAGACACTGAGACATTCTGTCCACAAAAAGTGAATCGTAAAACATTTTCTACTTTTACTTGACTTTGCTTCTCTTTGTCATTCACTTCAGCAGACCAAACGCAGATTTGAGAACTTCTCATGATTCCATCATTGCATAGAAACGCCGTTACGTTCTGGGTGGTGTGCACGTCACTCAAACCATCCAACTCAGGAGGGAACTGCGTTAACGTCAACAAAATGGTCAGACCTAGGAATATCACCGGCACTGCACGGACATGTTTGAGCAATGTTCCAGTAACAGTAACAGTCATTTCACGGCGTATAACACAAGTGGGGAGAATCATCCATCGCCGTGATGCTGAACCTCGCTGCGGTATACACACCTTGTGGGAAAAGAAAAAGGAAAAAAAAGAGGGGGGGGGGGGTGAATGTTAAAACATATTATAGTAGTAGTACGACCACAGGGAGGATGAGGCACCACGTCACATTGTTTGCTTGTTTTTGTAAGTGTTTTACGGCGCTCGCAACTGCATAAGGTCATATGAGCGCGCGGGACACATAAAACTTTTCCAGTTGGTAGGAAATTTTGAATTTTGCCCGGGTGGCGGCCGAAGCCTACTCTGATCGATTTTAGACCACCAAGGGATCTCGTGCGCAACGTGCACACGGGCCCTCCGAGATTTTTCGCCCTTGTCCGAGACGGCTAGGTGTTGATCTTTCCTACCAGAAGATCAGGGGTGTGGCTGAAAGACAGCAGTAAAAAGAAGCCAAGGAGTAGCAGTAGAAAGGCTGTAGAAAGAATCAGGAGCCCAGAGGAGGGGGGCAAAAGAGATGAGGGAGTGGGGGCAGAAAGAGGAGACGAAAGCAGACGACAGAACATTGCTAGAGAGCAGGAAAGGAGGTGAAAGGAGACAAATTTAGAGAATAAATTTTTCGGACACTACCCGGATTCGAACCCGGGACCTTTGAATGAGAGGTCAACACCTTAACCTCTAGGCCACGAGAGCCCCCACCACATCACACACAACGGAAAGACTAAGGGAAGCTGGTGTCTCTAGAGTCTAAAGGGTCGGGGAGAGACAGCAACCTGCGTGGAAAAGCCAGAAGAATATCTAACCAGCTGATAACTGGCACGATCAGCAATCAGACCCTTTCGTGGATCCCGGAGAGGAGGGAGGAGCAGCTATGGCATTGTATCATTGTGCCGCCTGCAATGATGTATATTGTCCAACCAAGTAAGTAAGTAGAAGTAGGCATTTTCCCAATAGGCCATGGATATTATGAGAATGGTATCCCATCACATGTACTTCGAGCCAAGGTCAATTGTGGTTTTGAGAACATGTTGTTTCTTGTTTTAATTATAGCAATAAAAAGAACCAAAATAAAGTGTCCGAAAATGAATAAAAGTAAGCCTACTCACGTGCATTTACAAAAACATATGCATGCTCCACAGTCACACAAACACACACACACACACACACACACACACACACACACACACATACACACACACACACACACACACACACACACACACACACACACACACACACTCTCTCTCTCTCTCTCTCTCTCTCTCTCACAAATACAAACACACACAAATCTACACGCATACGAACACACATACTTACACACATTGAGGCCCCATCAACTTACACATCTTACTGTCTATGTCTGATAATATCTATTGAGGTCTGGTCAACAATTTACATCATAATCTCGCAACAAGCCTATCACTTTATCAGAAACTTATTCTTTAGAAAATGGTCTTAACATAATTATAGCTCTAATTATTATCGTAACTTGCGTTTCAAGGAAATCCAGACGATATTCCCTTTGTTTAGTAAGAGTTATAAGGCACTTGCGACTCAAAAATAGGTAGAAATAATAAGCACCGACGATCAGAGGTGTTACTTGAAGGTAACAATATAAGTACAATTATAAATGGAGGAGAGATAAAGACGAAATAACTACCCACATACGCTCTTTAAAATGACATATAATAATAATAATAGATAGCATTTGTATAGCGCATATCCCCGCTCAACAGCAGGTCTATGCGCTTTACACTATATTATTACCCCAGCAGACCATAGAACACTCCGAAACATTCTCAGCTTCCCGTGAAGCATATCTCACTTTCACAAACAAAGAAAAAAGTATGTACGATTAACTCACTTCAAAGGCCAACATATTAAGTTGAACAATAATTGTAGGAAACATGTGCACATATTAAGTCATGAGTGAATAATTTGAATTCTAATTTTGGGTACCGGCAACCGACATTATTGGATAAATCATGGAAATAGCAAAGTAGATCTGGACTAGTCAAGTATAAGAGATACATGTAGATTAGTAGATCTGTAAAGGTTTCAGAGACATAATTATTATAATATATATTTACCTCATTCGAAAAAAATGTTTTCCTTATTAAGACTTTGAAAATGTTCCCGATGCCGACTGTATTTGGTTCTGAGAACAATAACAAAAAACAAACAAAAAAATGAAATAAATGAAACGAACGGAGAGAAATAAAACAAAACAATACAATATTCACTAATAAAAAGTATTTTTCGCCCGCTACAAACTTAGTTGTCATGGAAACGTTGACTGTAGATTTAAAAATAAAAATTCTATTTCGTTTTCAAAACAATAGATAGTTTAGTCAAAGTTTGGGTTTCTTTGGAAATAAAAAAAGCATCATACTCTTTATTTTTCTTATTCAGGAAAGACAAAAACGACAGCAGTTATCAAATGTGGGTTTTAAACTCACATTTGGGGGCAACCGATTACAACTAACTAGATCTACATGACATGTATTTCAAGGGGATAACAACATTTTACTACAAAAAGTCATTCTTTTGTGAGGGAGTTTAGGTATTGAATTGCTCTATTGTTGCCCAGAGGTATCGGTCTTTTTTAAAGCAACTAAATATCGTCTGTACCGTAGAGGTATCTTTGTTTTAAAAAAGTGACTAAAGTCGACGTTGTTTTAGAATAAAGGCGAAATACACAATAGGATAGTTTTTACTCAATATTCATGCAGTAAAAGTGTTCTTAATAAGTCATAAAAGAGAACAACAGCAGCATAAATGTTTATGATCTTTGCCGAAATCGAGTACAATATATAAATTATTTGCTCTTTCCAGTTTTGTTTGTTTTCCTTTTCCGTTTTCGACAACGGCAGAAAAGAATTCGGCTTTTCTTTCCTTCCTCTTTGGACGTTGGCTAGATCTAGATCTAGATCTAGATCTACTCCTGCCACAGATGGGTGGATGTGAGATATTTTGGCATAAAAGTTTAAGCCACAAGACAGTGTTGAAGACACTTTGAAAACAACAGATCGTGAGCTGTAAGTACAGATCAAAGTCAAAGTTGAGAGACACATGTGTTAGAAACCTAACTAATCTAGACTCTAGGCTCTAGGCTATGCTATGTATACTAAAAGTAAAAGTAAAAGTAACCTCTAGATCTATGTCCTATTGACGATGATAAGTAACGTTAAAGTAGAGTTAGGCCTATGCCTTTCTTTTTTTAAAGCTAGATCTAGATATCATAGATCGTGGAGGACTTATCTGGGAGGACTTCTATAACGAGCAACCACTCTGAACTCAATGAATCAATAAATAATACTCAATGGCCATCAAAATCAGTAAGGAAGACCTAAAAAAAAGCCAGTGTACTAGAATCAGCGCTTTTTCGGTAGTTCCCACCCCGCATTTGTTATTCGCCTGTTTTGGCCCCAAGAGTAGGGGGGTTTCAGGGGGGCTTGCCCCCCTGACCTAATAAAACAAGGTGGGGGGTTTCAGGGGGGCATGCCCCCCTGAATTTTACCACAATTTAATGTTTTGCAGTTGTTAGGTTTGACATCTTAGCTTGCCGCGAATCAAACGTATATAGATCTAGATGTAGGTCAGGCTCTATCAAATAAGGGGGGTGGGAACTACCGAAAAAGCGCCCTAGAATCTAGTATAGATCTAGTCAATCTAGATCTACAGTCCATGCCGGCTTTAAGCACGGTCATCGGGAGAAAGCATATAAGCGTGCTTAATGCCGAAGCGTGCTTGAGTGCGAAGTAGACATAATCCAGAGGTTTTCATGCATGTAGAAATTTTCCTGTGCTATTACCCTTTGTTTGTAAGTAGGCCTATACAGTGGTCCCGTAAAAGTGTGCACTGTTGTTTTTACCCGCCATGGTAGTTTTTATTTACTTGTTTGCTTTAGTTTTGTGGTTGAATGGGAAATGAAAACTTAATATAGACGGCCAGTCACGATACAGCACACTAGGCCTACACACTGCCTGTGCGTACCACTGCCCGCTGTGCCACGTTCATACCCCCGCCTTTATCCCACCTCGTGCGTGATACATAATCAGGATTAATGGATAGCGAGGGTCAAAGGTGAAATCGCAGCCAGCCTCCCTTTCTCGTACCCCGACTCTTTTTGTATTTTTTTTTCCTAGAGTAAGTGCGAAACGAATCTAAATAAACTAGCATGAAGATTAACTTGCGCCAACATTACTACAGCATCATCATCGTTACCGCCATCATCATCATCATCACATCATCATCATCATTATTATCATCATCATCTTCACACCCTATTTTTCTTGCTAAATTGTTTTTCTTAAAGCATAACAATTTGTACTGTGTTGGCACATTTTTACTTGACAGTTACTTAACTTACAAATATGGGCGCGAAAATCTGTACGGGACCAAAAAAAATGTCAGATGATCCACCTAACCTAAAGAATTAAAACTCAAGTGAAGGTATCTTGAAACAGCATATATAGGCCTATATATATATATATATATATATATATATATATATATATATATATATATATATATTTATATATATATTATATGCTACTAAAACTGACTCTGACTTTTTAATGGGGTAGCACCAGAAGGAAATTTGAAAGGCTTTCTGACCTCAGGGGAAGTCTGTTTCAGTTTCTGTTTCTGTTACATGAAACTACAGCGAGCACCTAGCACACCTCTGCTGTGATTGGGCGGAATATAGAGATGACGTATTTCCGCCATCTATTTTTGTGGTCTTCTAGAGCTTCCCTCGCCAGTTAACTAGATTTCTCCGTGGCGGGCCCACTTTGCCGCTTCGCGTGTGATGGCCTATGTCACTAGGTTTCATTGCCGACTGCTTGGGCTGTGTGTGCACTTGCGCACTAATGTGTGTGTGTGCGCTCGCGCTTGTGTGTGTGTATGTGTGTTTACCTGTGAGTGTGAGTGTGCGTGCGTGTGTATGTGCATGCACGCTTATCAGGGTTGGTGATTTTTTAAATTTTAAAAATAAAAATAAAAAAAATCGATTTTTTTGATTTAAATAAGATTTTTTGGATTTAAATCGGATTTTTTGGATTGTTTTTATTTTTAAAAAAAATGTCGACACAGTTTGGGATTTTTGGAGGCTAAAAGTAAGTTCTTTTAGTGCAAAATGCATTGTCTTTATTTTAACTAATGATTAATTTAAGCAACTGCAATTTTAGAAAGCCTTAATCTGCTATATCAGTAAGTTATGGCTGCAAACAAAAAATGAAGAAAATGTCAGTCTAAAAGGAAGGGGGGGGGGGGGGGTAATTATGCATAGATAAACTTGGATTTTTATTACAGTGTGTGTGTGTGCGCGCGCTTGTGTTTGTCTAAAAAGAAAAAGAAAATGCTAATTTCAGTTATGAAAAAAAAGTAAATTGAATACAGTATTATTTTACTACTTACAGTGACAGGGGGGAAGCAGACTTTTAAGCATGATTATTTTAGTCTACTAAACCTTATATCTGTTTTATAAAACCAAGGAAAGGAATTCTGAATGTTTAAAGATGTAAAAACAGAACACATTTTTAAAAAGTGATTTAAATCACTGAGTTCTATTTTTAAAATCAAGTTGATTTAAATTTTAAAAAATCAACTGATTTAAATCAATCCCACCCTGGTTTTCAATTATGAAAAAAAGTAAATTGAGAACTGTATTATTTTACAGTGACTGGGGGGAAAGAAGACTTTTAAGCATGATTATATTAGTCTACTACTAAACCTTATATCGTTTAATAAAACCAAGGAAAGGAATTCTGAATGTTTAAATATGTAAAAACTGAATACATTTTTTTGAAAAGTGATTTAAATCATTGATTTTTATTTTAAAAATCAAGTTGATTAAAATTTAAAAAATCAACTGATTTAAATCAACCCAGCTCTGATTTCAATTATGGCAAAAAAAGTAAATTGAATACTGTATTATTTTACAGTGAAAGGGGGGAAAGCAGACTTTTAAGCATGATTATATTAGTCTACTAAACCTTATATCTGTTTTATGAAACTAAGGAAAGGAATTCTGAATGTTGAAATGTGTAAAAACTGAATAAAAATAAATTTAAAAAAAAGTGATTTAAATCACTGATTTTTATTTAAAAAATCAAGTTGATTTAAATAAAAAAATCAACTGATTTAAATCAACTTGATTTAAATCAACCCAACCCTGACGCTTATGTGTGTGTGTGTGTGTGTGTGTGTGTGTACAACTTTGTGGAGAATGTAAATTTATGGAACGAGAAATGCTTAGATTGTTTATAAAAGATAACACGCAAACTAATACCAAAAAACTCCCCAAACACAGCGAGATCTAGTCAACAGTTACTGGCGAGGGAAACCCAAGAAGCATGACAAAAATAAATGGCGGAAATCATCATCATCAATGCCTTTCACCCCTGGCAGGGTATAGGCCACATACAAGTTCCTTCCATTTATCTCTGTCCTGAGCCATCCTTCCAAGCTTGTTCCAAGTGAGCTTCATTTCTCTCATGTCCCTTTCCACGCATCTCCTCCATGTTTCCTTTGGCCTACCCCTGCCTTGTGCTCCTTGTGGGTTCCACTGCAGTGACTGTCTTGTGATGTTTCTGCTGGGCTTTCTTAAGGTATGTCCCATCCATCGCCACTTTCTTAGTCCTATTTCTACTTCTATTATATCCTTTTGTCTTGTCCTTTCCCACAGCTCTTCATTTCTTATTCTATCCTGCCACTTAATTCTTAGAATACTCCTCATACATCTGTTGTTGAAAGTCTGGACTTTATTGATGGCGGAAATACGTCATCTATATTTGGGCCAATCACAGAGGTGTGCAAGGTGTTTGCTGTAGCTTAATGTGTTTATGTAAGGTTAGAGTTTTACGGTGCTCACAACTGCGCTGCCAGAGGTTATGAGTGCACTGATAGACTCCTGACTCAAGCTAGTTGTTTTCATGTTAGTTCACAGCAGGGCTTAGTTTTATTTTGCAACGTCACAATGGTTGAAATAAAAAATCCATGGAAAAAATTTGGTACTAATTTAACAATCATGAATACATTTTTTTACTATCTCAGTTTTTATATCTCATTGAGTAAAGACCAATGGTCTCTACTGTATAAAATTAAGAATTTTGCTGGGATCAACAATGCAGAACAAATTTGTCAAATTAATGCTCAGGTCGGCATCTCATCCTACACAAACACGTGTTTTTCATCCCTGCAGGATGATAATGTGTCCGAGAGAGAGATATATATATATTTATGTCCAATTTCATTAGAGGAACTTCAGCTCTTATGGAGAGACCCAAAGGTTTTTGTGAACCCAACTTTATATATATATATATATATATATGATGATATAATGTTTCTCGGAAAGGGTCAAAATGTAGGAACTGGCTGTGGTGCTCTATTTATATATATATATATAGAAAAAGATACCTCAGGTAGCTCGAGTGGAATCATTTTTTTGCTATGTCATTGGGAGCAGTGGGTTTTTATTGGTTTAAGACTCGAGTAAAGTTTTGTCCATTGGAAGTTTTCAAAAACAGCCACCCTATGTCAAGGAAAAAAGTGGCTGTCGAAGCTAGGTGGCTGTCTTTTCACGGTGTGTTTTTATAATTTTAAAACAAAAAGATGATGGGTGGAAAACGGTAAGTGGCAGTTTGTAATGTGGTTGTCTTACTTATACTATACAGATGGCTCTGACAGCAGGTTGGACTGTTGTTTCATTTTGATTTATTTTGATTGGCGTAGTGGAAACATCAAAATTACAACTAGCTTTTATATTAAATTTGCTATGAAATAGGTATCAGCCCCCTGTTTCCATTTGATTTGAGTATCGGTTGAATGTCAGATTGTTTTAGTATATTCATAGCTGAACCTTGTTGAAGACACCCACAATGCAATACTTAGATTTAAATATACGCTCAATAAATGAAACTTTTTTCTAAGTGCTTTGGACAATACTCAGTTTAAGAGTTTGCATGTGTTTGATATTTCTTTATAGAAAAAGCTTGATTTCTTCCAAAGAAGTACTCCGGTTCAGCCCAGATTTTGAGAATGGTTCATCCGTACAAGTATTTTTTCTTACAGGATTGTCTTGACTGGGTATGAAGTTTGGCGTCACATGTGTTATTTTCTAATATGTTTGTTTACTTATTGCTAATATAAATCTTTGTTGTCCAGATGCTGACACATTGGTTTGGTGTTTCACCATACACGCATGCATGCATACACACTCACACACACACAACACACACACACACACACACACACACACACACACACACACACACACACACATCCACACACACACACACACACACACACACACACACACACACACACTCACACACACCCACACACACATACACACACACACATAGCCATGTGTGTGCACACACCCATACACACATATATATACACTCTGTCACACATCCTCTCTTCCACATACATCCACATAATTTATGCTTGCATTCACAAACAGGCCCACAGTAAAGAAGTATTATTTTTCTGCCCACAGAATATTGCTGAAACGGAACTCTGCCTGCTTTCCAGTACTTCCAGCATAGTACAACAGGCTACTACTGTATACTGTACTGTGTCATCCTATGTGAAGTACTTGCCCGTAAGGAAATATCCGTCATCATTATGGCTGACCAGCTTCGTCGAGATTTGTTGACTAAGAACTGCGTAGTTGCCAAGGAAGTGTTGGAGTGTCTGGTGAAGGATGATCTGGACAAGTTAAAGGAGATGAGCTCACGCTTCTCTCAAGCTGACCTTATTGGAGATCGAAACGCTCAAGAGGCAGCTAAAATTTTGTACGCCGCTGTCACGGCAGAGGCTGCGAACTGTGCGCTTTGGCTGCTCAACGACAGCGTGGAGGCAAATCCAGACTTGTTCAAAGATAAAAAGAAAAGAACAGCGTTGTGTGTCGCAACGGTAAAGAATCGAGCCGAACTCCTGCAAAACCTCCTCGAGTCTGGGGCGGATCCGAATCAAGTGGACACCCGGGGTGTGAGCCCGCTCATCGAATGTGCGCGGCACGGCTACTCGGAGTGTTTGCAGCTACTGCTGCAGCATGGCGCTCGGACAGAGGGACGCACCAAAGTCCTCCGGCACTGCGCGCTCACGGAAGCCGCCTCTGCTGGCTATCTGCGCGATGTGCAAATGCTTCTCGACGCCGGGGCCGACATCAACGCACGGACGGCGGAAAATGAAACTGCTCTTATGCTGGCCGCGCATAAAGGTCGTTTTGACTGCGTCAAGGAGCTGTTGGCTCGTGGCGCCAACCACTTGTTGGAGTCGTCCCGAGGACACACAGCGCTGTTCACCGCCACTTACGGGGGGAACTTTGAGATCGTGAGATATCTTCTGCAGTTTGACAACCGGCTTGAAAAGATGGATGGTGATGGCAACACAGTATTGGCCGCGTCAATCTGCATTGCAAATGTTAAGATCATGAAACTGCTCTTAGATAATGGTGCCAATTTGAGAAATGTGACTGATTTGTCGTGTGTGCTTCAGAGTTGCGCGCTAAACGGAGGTGAATCCTGTTTGGAGCTTATGCTGCAGTGCTCGGATGATTTGCAAGGCACTATAAAGGAAGTGATGCTGAGTTCCATCATCGGGGACAACCTGGACTGTGTCAAGCTATTGCTGAGGTACGGGCCTCACGTACATGTTCGGATGTATGAGAGCAAGAGCAAAACCCTGCTACACGAAGCCGCACAGAGTGGGGCGCGCAAATGCCTGAAATATCTTCTGGAGCAAAAGGCTAACGTGAACGCCAGGAACAAGGATGGGTTGACCCCTCTTTTTTACGCCGTGCAGTCAAACGAACCTGAAAATGTAAAAACTCTGATTGCTCACGGGGCGGACATACATTTTCGTGACGGTAAGGGACTGACTCTGGCTATGGTGGCCTCCTGTGTCTCCATCCTGAAAGTGTTGTTGGAAGCGGGAATCGACATTCACGCCCAAGACCAGAGCGGCAAGACGGCACTGATGCACCTGTGTGAGGAGAACGAAATGGAGTGCATGCAGACGCCAAATTTACGGTTCTTGGTCAAGAATGGCGCCCGCATTGATGTCACAGACTTTGAGGGTCGCACGGCTCTAATGTACGCAGCCATGCACGGCAGATTCAAAAACTTGAAAATTTTGCTGAAAAATGGGGCGAGCATCAACCGTCTAGACGACAAAGGAGCCTCAGCACTGGAGCACTGTGTTCAGCAAGGCTTAGAACATGAATACAAAAGACTCTTTCACAAAGGGTCCAAGAAATGTATCGGAATATTGCTCAAACACATGCCTTTATCTTCGGAGAGCAGTGTGATTGCCATAAAAGCTATGGTGTCGTTGTTGTTCAACCGAGAGTGGTACCACCCAGAGCGGGACGACGACCCGGTCACTGGCTACGTCATGGAGTACCTACCGCCGCTTTTTGAGTTCAAAGACAAATTCCCGTGTATGCTGTCGTGGTGCCGCGACGAGTTCGCTCGCATTGCAGCGCAGGGTGTGAGAGACACGGTTCGCTTCCTTCTGTTGAACGGTGTCTATCCCAGATACGGGGTCCTGGTGAGAGACTTCAAAAATCCTCCTGTGTCCGTCTGTCCTGCCACCCTGAAGTATTTCATCATCAACGACCTGCTCGACGAGGCCGATCACAGCTATCTCAGAGAGTTGAGGGCCACCTCCAGTTTTTCTCGCGGGGGGGCCTCCGGGTTGGCTGAGAACGATGATCTGGAGGGGCACGGTGCAGCAACCACCCGCGAGAGATTCGCTTTTACAGAGAGGAACTCGGTGGACACGATACTCCCCGTCCTCACCTCGCAACCGTGGCCGCTGGTGAAGCTCTGTCTGCGGACGTTGTCGGTCGCTCTCGGCAGCAGGGACGGGCTGGAGGATCGCGTCCAGAGCTGTCAGGTCCCACCGCAGCTACAGAGGTTCCTGGCGCACCAGAACAAGTGCCTGCAGCTGTGCCCGAGCCAGTGGCACAACATTCCCATGGAGTCGGAGCCCATGGTTTACGAGTCGCTCCCCAGGCCAAGGCCACTCATCGAGCAGTGGCCCGCGGGCCAAGACTTGGACAAGTGTGGGTGCGGCCGGTGCGGCAAAAACGGACTCTGCTTCCGCGGCATCGAGCTTGACGCTGATCCCCGGGCCGTCCTGGTGCGGAGTGAATGGGATATGTTGTTTGACGAGCTGGGACTCAATCCTTCGGGAAGAGACGATGATATTGACGGAGCCAGTTCTTTGGACACAGATGATCCTGATGTCGTGCCCGACGATATGGACAGTGAGTGGGAAGATGTGGATAGTGATGCAGATGATGATGATGACGATGACGACGGTGGTTCAGATGATGGCGATGATATTTCTGACGATGGTGACGATGCTTTATTAGATTGTGGTATCGATACTTCAGATGATGATGTTGACGTCAGTTAGTTAAGCTGGGGATGTAAGTGGTTCTCTGTTCTCTGAGCTCGAATGAGGCGAAACCAAAGTCTGTTTTGAGTTTAAAAATATGTGAGGCAGCGGGGTGAAATCAGGCGCTCGTCAAAATATAGAAATCAGAGAAACAGGCATTTTTCCTCAGTATAGAAATTTTTATTGAATTTTTTTGTTTTTGTGCTCAACCTCTTTTATGTCGATATAAAAATACATTTCTGTATGTAAATTTTTTACTGAAAAACATTGATTTAAGGCACAAAATACGTTATTTTTCTGTTTTCAAGGACTCTTTCTTCATCTATTGGAATAACTTTGGCCGCCATTTTCTTGCTAATTTCACCACCGAAACCAAGCGACGTCACTTCCTTTAATCGCAGATATCTTGAGTTCTATTCAAGAAAGATGGATATTTGTTTCATTGGTAGCAAGGCAAATATATGAGCTTTCAGATGATGCCAATAACTCCACATGCCCAAAAATTGCTGAACGCCTGATTCCACCGCGTCGTAACACATATGTGAGGCAGAATGGTGGAATCAGGCTCTCATCAATTTTTTTTGGCATGTAAAGTTATTGGTATCATCGTAAAGCTTGTTCACTTTTCTTTATTTGGATGGAAAAAATATCCATTTATCTTGAATACAAGTCGAGATATTTGCGAAAGAAGCTGGGGGTCACATGTTTTCAGAGGTAAAATTATTGAGAAAATGGCCGACAAAGATTAGTTATTTCCTTAGCTTAAGAGTCCGTTGTTACTGAAAATTTACATTTTTGTGCCTTTAATCAAACCTTTTCAGAAAAATCCGCACAGAAATGAATTCTTTAATGGGCATGAAAGGTGTTGAGCCAAAAAACAAAAATTTGATAAAAATTCACAAACCTGTGGAAAAATGCAAGTTTCTTCAGTTTGATTATTTTGACGAGAGCCTGATTCCACCGCGCTGCCTCACACGTATATATATGTTTACATATGTAGCAGTGAACTTCATCGTCTTCCTGGTCGCTCTGTCACAAATGTACACGGTAGGCCTACGTGACATGCATTTTGCTTTCTGTTTTCCTTCTTTCTTCAGTGTCATCGTCTCGATACTTGATGATATTGATGACATTTTCAGACAGAGCTCTTTTGTGTGTCGTGAACAAGTAGGGTGTGTAACATCATGCTTTGACATATTATGACAGGGTCTTACTGTTCAGTTTTATTGCCGTTCACACGTGTTTTTGTGATCTAAATTGTTTAGTAAATGGTGGCATTAAATAGCACTTAAAA